TTGCCGGCGGGTGTGTGCCGGATACCTCTCCAATGCCTAAGTCAGCAAAATAGACAAATAGACGAAAACTCTATGTATTTCGAAAATCAAAGTTGTGTTACCTGTACATAGGTTTGGTTGAGAGCTTTTATAGTTTTTGCCTGGTACAATCCTAGTAAGACTTTTATTCCTCCATGTAGAGTTCTCATCAGAATCACACTCCTGAAAGATAATGTTTATCCTTCAACACCCTCCTCACTGCTTAAACCAAATGAGATGGTTTTACCTCAGTTAGATGACAGTATGACCGAGCTAACATTAGCCCTTTGTCATACTTAATCCAGCGCCTTCACTGTAACACATAGCTTGGCTCTTGTTCACTTGTACCTCGATTTTGTCTATTGAGACCAAGCTAACTACACCAAGCTTTGACCGAGCTAACAAAAGCAAGGTCCACCATAAGAAGCTCAAATACCTCGGCTCCGAATACTATGACCGAGCTAATTATCACCACTCTGACCGTGATGACTGTAACCATACTTGAACCGAGCTAACACTAAGGTCCACTCGCTAAGCCCTTTTCACCACGGCCCATAGAACGGCCTATTACTACGCCTGGGCTTAGCTCGGCTTTAATGCTCATAAAAACTCCCTCTCAATTGCCCTTTAATTCCATCTGCGTAGCATGATTGGGATTATTCGTTACCAGCTGAGCTAAAACTTCAGACCTTCAACCGAGCTAAATTGTCACCGGGCTATCGATTTTTCCGGTCAAAAAACGTCTCTTCAGTCACGCTGTACATCTAAATCGCTTGTTATTCCATAGACACATGGCTGGCCCCTTTTGGTTGAGTACAGCTATCAACGCCGCCCTCGTACTCTGAAAATTTTGAACAGTCCCACCTTTTTCACACGCTTTATACAAAAACCCTATGTTTTGAACCAATCACTTCTACTATTCATCTTCTCTCTCTTGCCCTCTGAATCTTCATTCTTACAACCCTAGCATCTGCCAAGCTCGAGCTTCTGCTGGTACTGTTTTAATCTTTGGTCCCTCCATTTTGAACTGATATGTGGCTCAAATCTTATTTCTTTTTCGTTTATTGTGTATAGTGTAACAATACATAGCATAATATATATATGTTTCTTCAAAACACATACTAGTATAGTTTTGTAGATACCCCATTTTTGACCGTCCTCAAGACTTGGACGTCACCGCGTGAGCACTCGGTGATCATCCATGTTTGTGTTCGTCTTGAGTTCCCGAAGGCCTCGGCTGCACGCCTTGCCTCGGAATCTCTCGACTCGACTGCTTTGTGTCTGGTTTTGCACCAAGAGCTTGTGGATGTGTTCCTGAGGACAGGAGGGAGCCTGTCGACCAAGTCTCCTGCCCACCGGCCACCTTGATTTTCAATCGGCCAAATGTGATGGCCGGCCGGCCGATTTGACTGCTGGTCGGCCACTTTGATGGCCGGCCGGCCAAATGTGGTTTTCAACAGATATTTCTGCAGACAGCTGGCAGCTGTCATTCCAGGCCATACCCCAGCCCATGCCTGGACGTGGGAGCTCTGAGGAGCTGCAGATTGATATATTTCTATATCAATCAAGCTTCTTGAAAAGAAAATGAGACAAGGAGAGAAGAAAAGGAGAGATACAACTTGGAGGAAGAAGAATTTTCCTCTCTCTCTAAAAAATTCTCAGCTCTCTCCCTATTTCTCTCTCTCAAAACCCTTCAAATCCTAAGGTTCTTGCACCCTTTACACTACACCTCCAAGCCTACGACCTCCATACTCCATTCCAGCAACTTGAGGTTGATTTCCAGAGGTGAAGGGCTCCCAAACTTGGCCCAAAAGTTGTTGAAGCTTGGTTCTACAAGGGTGAGTCCCATTTTCCCTCTTTCTTGCCTTGTTTTGCATGCTATCTAAGCCATACTTTCTAGAATTTTTGGGCTCCGACCCGAACTAGAAAGAGTCATATTTTGAGCTCCTCTTCATGTTTGATCAAGAACGTTTTGCTGTTTGAGGTCTTCTCCTCACCCTTTGTGCTTAATCCCTCTTTTAGGCCTATTTTTGCATAGTATTTTAGGCTTACTTATGAGTTGTTTTGGACTTGGTCATAAACTATAAAATAACTTTTTTTGAGCCCCTCTTCAACATTGTTGAAGGGCTCTCCTCTGTTTGAGAACAGCAGCTACCACTTGTCTCTTTACCCCTCTTTTAGGCCTTTTCTTGCATGATAGTTTGGCCTTATTTGTGATTATTTTCGTGGCTTGATGTAAACTGTAAAGTGTCTTTTTTTGAGCCCCTCTTAAACTTTGTTGAGGGGCTCTTTGCCATTTGGGGCCAGCTGCTGTCCCTTTGTGTTTAATCTCTCTTTTAGGGCCATTTTTGCATGATAGATTAGCCCTATTTGTGTTCATTTTTGAGACTTGTTTTAAACTGGAAATATGCATGTTTTGAGACTGTCTTGCATCTGTATTCATGCTTCATGATCAAATAATGCATGCTTTGTATAGCTATAAGTCATTCCATGTGCCTAGTTTTGAGTTTCGGGGTTTGTCTCATGCATCGGGTGCCATTTTTCCATGTTTTGGGGCTGTTTAGCATCATGTTTCAGTGCTGAAATCATATGTTTGTATGCCATATTGCATCCCTTGCCATGCCTTGGTAGAGTCGCATTTTATGCCTTAGGTTCGGTCCTCGGTTTGCATGCACGTGTGCACGCATTTCGATTGTCTCATTTTCATCTAATGGCCACTGATTTTGGCATGCTTGCGAGCTATCCATGTTAGTTTAAGTCCATCATCGCATGTTGTTGTATGTCATGTATGCTTACATGTTTAGGTTGTGTGCCTATTGCATATTAGATGCATTGCATAATCATGTTGCATTAGCCTTGCTTGCATGCTTAGGTTGCATTACATTGTGCATGCATCCCTTGCCTCTTGATCAAGCATGATAAAGGTTGGGACCCTTGATGTGTTTTGTGTGTGCATTCCATTTGATATCGAAGTTCCTAACTTGGCCTCTTAGGCCATCATGCATCAAAATGCATAATTGATGGCCCGAGGGTCGAGGGCCATGCTCCCTTGAGTCCATTACATGATAGGGAGTGTGTCCATGCATACATTTGCCTAAAAATTCCATGCCATACACTACTTGCCCTCTGCTGCTGTCAATTGCAGGTTCTGCAGGAAGATTTGGCCAGTCGGCTAAATATAGTGTCGACCGGCCAGTAATCTGTGGCCGATATATCAAAAGGCAGCCGGTGATCATCCCCTTTGGCCGGTGGAATTTTGTCCTAGCCGGTGGTATTCCCTAATATCCAGAGAGCATACTCTTGAACTTTGGCGGTCCCCAGAGGAGCAGGGCAGTGTTAATAGAGGCAACAGTGCTATGGCAGCGAGTTTTTGGGCGAGATGGGTCAAGCATTCATCCTTCACGCATTCCGAGGCAGGATTGTGGCCCCCTTCCTTTTGCATTTAATTTGTTAATTAATTAGAAGTTCTGTAATAATTAATTTAGTATTATTTATTTGGACTGTAATATTTATTTGGACCCTCCGAGCGAGGGTAATTGTGTAATAAGTGTGCGTGAGTGTGTGTATGTCTTCCAACCCCACGTCTTTCTTCTCTTTTATTTACTAGCTTTCAATGGTTAGTCTAGGGCATGTTTCAATTAGCATACAGTATGATAGCATGTTTGCATCCATTCATTCGTTTTGCATGCACCAGGCTCAGCACATTATGCTAACTGCATTGCGTTTCAATTCCAAATTGAATACGTGTTAGTTGTAGCATTTCACATGCCATGCTTAGAATAACTGAGCCCATTTCTAGTTGTATTTCGCATGTGTTGCATTAGCCATCTTAAACTAGGATCATGCATATGATTACGAACTAGTTTTTGTTTTGGCTTGGAGTCCTCGATAAGCATTTATGCTTTAACATACCGCATGCGTGTGAGTGTTGCCATAACAGCATGATTACCATAAGGCTAGCTGCTTATGTGATATGACTGCTTGAATGCCTGTGGGTGGAGGTCGAATTACCTAAATTGGAATAATGCATTAAAACTGTGAGTTTTAATCCCACTAGATAGTGGCAAAACCATCTTTTCTAAAGCCCACTTGAGGGTGGCAAAATCTGCATTTCAGCCTACTTGCGAGTAGCAAACCATTTTCAAAACAAACATGCTATGTTTTGTTCCAATTTAGGCGATTTGGTCTATACTTGTTTGCTGTGCGCATAACATAGTAATTCTAGGCTAATAACCGGAATAAGAACACATAACGTTTTCAAAATTCTTGACCATATTTTGTCATGCATGAGGTCTGTTGGCCACTGATTTGGTCTTGTTTAGCATGCTTGATATAGTTGCTTTGCATTTTGGATCATGAACCTTGAGTATATGGATCAGTAACATGCCTAGCTTAGCCCATTATCATCATTTGGCATTAGTAGAGATCATATTCCAGTCCATATAATGTGGTCTTACATTGTC